TTTAAATAATTAGAGCGGTAATTAACGGAGAGATTAACCGGTATTTTGTGATAATGGGATAATAAATGTAAGTTGGGATATTTAAGTAGAATAAAGCACAGTGTCATTCCGAAAGGGCGTTGACTGTAGGATGTATCAGAGTTAAGTGTTTAAACCACTCGTCAGCGACATTAAATGCGCACTCGACTCAAGAGAACCCTTCAGATAATAATTATGGTGATCAAGATATCATTATATTCTCATTCTAGATAATTACCGTTATTTATTCATTAATTATTAAATATATTTTTTTATTTATAGACATCTCTTTACAAGGTGATTTGTACTTGATTGTTTGAGACACTTACACAATAGAAATATACCTACAGAAATATATTATGGAATGATTAAAATAGCCTACTGAAACTAAATTAATGGTTTTGCTATGCGATGTATAGCGGTAATAGAAATTTATTCTCCATGACATTCAATAGGCCTACACTATAATGATATCAAAATAATCTATAAAATACAATTAACTACTATGCACAGAAATCCTACATTTATTTTATTTTATTTAAAACATCTTTAGGCAGGATAACATATACAGGCGAGATCTTACCGCTGTTTTACAATATGGTCCTGCAAACACATATTACAATAACAACAACAAAAGTAACCTTCACAGTACAACAAAATAATCAACAGTTAAAACTTTGGTGGAAAACTATCCCCCGCCGGACACCAACCCGGTATTTCTGAGTCAAGGTTTCGGGGCCGGGATTACCAGGTAGGACAAATACTGTATAATTACTTAAATAGATAAAAATGGTAGAAACTATCCCCCCCGCAGGGTACCATCCCGGTATTTCTGAGTCAAGGTTTCGGGGCTGTCACAACTTTTATCTTAACTACAAACCTAACTAAACAATGGTAAAAACTATCCCCCGCCGGACATCATCCCAGTATTTCTGAGTCCAAGTTTCGGGGCCGGGAATAAATGTTAAAAGTATAGACCAAGAAAATAGGAAATGAATTGTGAAATAAGAAAAAGTGTTTCTTATAAGTAATTTTGAATAAATTAAGAGATTGACATTCTTGCGTACATGGTCATTAATTGGTAAAATTGTAACTACATTTAATTTGCGTACTTTTATAACTATTGAAACAACTGGGTTTTCCCCACTATTTCACGGAATAATATGAGTTTCCTCTGTATATAGAAGGGCTTATTACCTTTATCACAGACTCATCGCTTACCAGATCATCATAGCGCCCTCCTGGTTTAATAGAGATAGCATAGACGCAACGTAAAATGTACAGTATTGCTAAACTGAAGTGACTGGTAATAGTTATCCATTGATATACGAATTCAACGAGAAAAATCAAGAGAAAAGTATAATTATTATCGAAGTTATATGTATTTTTAATTTATTTCCACGACCCAATGTTAGAAGCAATAAAGTATTAAGCCTAAAAAAATTAAAATAATAAAAAAATATTTAAAATATTAAAAATATATAAAAAAAATATTTAAAAATATTTAAAATATTTAGAATATTAAAAAGTATTAAAATAAAATTCATATGAATTGCTTACTTTCAATACTTAGATAACATTTCAAGTTTCATTTAAAAAATATGAATGGAAACATTTTTGCAAGTTACTGACCTTATATTTAAAAAAAAATTAAAATATTTAAAATATTCAAAATATTAAAAATATATTAAAAAAATATTTAAAAATATTAAAAATATTTAGAATAGTAAAAAGTATTAAAATAAAATTCATATGAATTGCTTACTTTCTATACTTAGATAACATTTCAAGTTTTCATTTAAAAAATATGAAGGGAAACATTTTTGCCAGTTACTGACCTTATAATTTTTTTTTAAATTAAAATATAAACAAATATTTAAAATATTTAAAATATATGAAAAATATTTAAAAATATATAAAAATATTTAGAATATTAAAAAGTATTAAAATGAAATTCATATGAATTGCTTACTTTCTATACTTAGATAACATTTCAAGTTTCATTAAAAAAATATGAAGGGAAACATTTTTGCCAGTTACTGACCTTATAACTTTTTTTTAAATTAAAATATAAAAAAAATATTTAAAATATTAAAAATATATGAAAAAATATTTAAAAATATATAAAAATATTTAGAATATTAAAAAGTATTAAAATGAAATTCATATGAATTGCTTACTTTTTGTAGTTAGATAACATTTCAAGTTTCATTTAAAAAATATGAAGGGGAACATTTTTGCCAGTTACTGACCTTATAAATATCATTACCCCTATCATTTTACATAATATAGACCATCAAAATTGACCAGGATATAATAGGAGTACAGGTCTCCCTCCAATTAAAGACTATTTTGGGACCGGGGTTTCCATGGTATTTGGCAGCTTTGGTCTTTAATTGGAATGATAAACAAAATAGACATTCATTAATTTGGGACCACAGAAAAGTGGTCCTTAATTGGAGAAGTCTTTAATTAGAGGGATATCGGTATTTTTGGTATTAATCAGACCAAAGAAAACGCACTATGTCTGAAGACTTGTTTCCAGTGAGGTCCTTCTGGTGGTAATCAATTTAAGGAGTCTAATAGTAAAATACGTCTGTCTCTTTAAAATGAGGAATTACACTTAACCTGGCAAGGAATACATTTGTTTGTTGTAATATAAAATTATAATTTACTAGAGGGGCACTTATTTCGCTCGCTTCCCTCTAGAATGTGAACGTCGCGATTAGTTTTGATAAAACGAACAATAGGACCACTAAAAGAAGATAGGTTTGTAGGCTATTTTCCATGTTATCTCGCTCAGGTTTTTCCTTTACGTAATATCAGAAATGCAGTGGTAGTTTTGGAATTATATTCACTTCATGGGAATGAGGCCGGTAGGTTTTGAATCAGACGTTATGTGAGGGTCTCGGTTTAGTACTGTGATTGTAGGCTTTGAAATAAGTGTAATTATAATATAGATAACCTACTTAAAATAGGCCTATACAAAATAATGAACTCCAATGTTTAATTTTATTCTTCTCACGGTATACATCTTGTAATTTGAATATCAATTATGTTTACCGTGCGTGCGTCATTTCATTTCATACAGAAAATAAATTGCAGTTAATGAATTGAAATTATTGAAATATCGGATACAAAAATAAAAAAAAACTGACTAGTAAAACTGTAAAATTAGGTCAAATAATCATATCAAAGGCCAAGATGGTATGATAACATTGACTATCAGTAAATCATAAGATCGCAGTTTATGAAAATTGAATATTATTTTTGCTTCCATCCGATTGTGTGATTAGATTTGTGTTGCATAAGGTGACCGAATAAATACATTACCTTAGAAACAAATAATCTCAAGCAATATTATAGAGGTCTATCGCGATTTGTGGCGACCTAACCTACATTTATTCAACGTTTTGTGTACAAACTTTTCTAAGAAATTAATACGTTGATTTATTGTGTCATAATATCGGATATAGCAAATGTTTCACAAATCGCACTTAACTCAGACAATGTGCGATTAAGGTAATCTCGGATGTAATAAATGATGAAACGAAATAGAACGCTGGTGAAATAAAGTAATGAGGCCAAACTGATTTATCAACGAGAAAATCCTGAACACGGTGATTTTCAAAGATTATACGACACAATAATATATCAGATGTGTATTCTCATTAAAAGGAGTCCGATATCGCATTAGAACTGAGTTAAAACAATTTTGTTTTATCCCTTTAAACAATATGAATTATGCACTCTTCATTCTTTTTGAATAACTGTTATAAATTAAACATTCCACAATAATAAATACTGTAAAGTGGGCAGTATTAAATGGTAGTGCTCTCGTCGCTGCACTGGGTAACGCCAATTCCACCACCACCACCACAAGGTATACAAGGAATACCTGTCAACATTTTCATCATGTCTAGATTAAACAAGAGCGGGTCCTTTCCAGGGCCTGACCTTACGGTCATATTATGTGCAAGCGTCGAAGGTTTCTGTGTACACGATAAGAAGAAGTATTGAATATTATTCAATTGTCTAAATCAATCATGTACACCTTCTTTCAATCATTACTAATTACAGTAACTGTAAGATTTATCGTGACATCAGTAAACGCGTTTATACTGAGTGGAGTATCGACTTAGGTGTAAGGTGTAAGTATCTCGAGATAAGTGTTTGCGCCACTAAGCACCGAATTAAAAGAAAACTTTTAAACACTTCTTTTGAAGGTTACGATGTAGTGACCATCGTAATCAGTATACCCAGGCCTCAACTTTCTCAACTTTCACAAAGGAATAAAACAAAAAGTAAATTATTATCGAGATACAACGACCACATATACAAACATTTCTATTATGTTTATCGTGGTAACGATTTATAGTTAATAAAATAAAAATTGTCGTTTAATGGCAGCTGACTAAAGTGTTATATTGTATAGCGCCCCCTATACTTGAACTTACTACATGAGTGTGCTGTGTCTTTCGTGAAGTACAGTTAGGCCTTGCTTTACCAATTCTTTTCCAAAAGGGCAACGATAGGAAAAAATCAATATTAAATTTTTTATCAGATAATTCCGGAAATTTAGAATTTCAAAATAAAATTTAAACTCAACAGTTTACAATTCTCACATATTTCCATTGGTAATTTGCTTTGTAATGTTAGGAAAAAAAAGCAAAGCGTTCAATAAACCAATTGCCAAACATGTATGAAAAAAATAAGTACAGTACGTAGGTATGCCTATACGTTTGTTGACGAACAAAATTAAAGATTAGTATAACGGGGAACTCTTAACTGCAAATGTGACCGATGATAATATCTAGGCCTAATAGAGTGTAAGGGACGCCCTCACCAGTCACAACTCCAAGTTTATAGCTCAACTCAATCAAGCGTTCTAGGCACACGTGACGTCATAATTTGAAGTTCATTTTTGTATCTGACCTCGCTATTCTTGCTACTACTGTATGTTTAGCGGTGTAGAGCAGCATACTACAGAAGAGGAGTGGAAGCAACAGACGTGTAATATTATCACACTGTTTTGGTAAACTGCTAACTATCATTTTTGGTATTATTCTTTAACTTTCCTGGGTTACTGTTGATTGGAGTAATTAAATCATGTTTAACGACGAATTACCACCTCACTTTAGACGACGAGTAAAAAGGTAGGTTTAAGTATTTCTATTACAAACACTGTATCAAACTTAATTAAATATAGAAAGCCACATATGTTATTGTTTACCATCTTGCCGTATAAATGCAATTATTAGAAATGTAACTAATGGTATTAAAGTCCAATTATTAAAATGTTGTATTGTGTACGCATCGGGCGCCACAGACAGCCCATCAATCACCTGTGCTAACCCCCAAAAATATATTTTCGATATCAATTACGGAGAAATGTAATATGCCTATTATTTTATTTTTATGTCATATAAATTTATAGTCTTACGGAATTTTACTAATAATATTGAAGGCTTATTTATTTGATCATTGTATTTTGTTCACACAGACAACCCCTCGATCGACTGCACCCAACCATAAAGCATATAATTTCTATATAAATTTCGTATAAACTTAGCATTATTAATAATGTGCATTAGTCTTTAAGAGTTATATTTTAATAACTCACTTGCTTTAGTTAAAAGTCATTGCGTGTACAAATACCAGAATTTGATTTGTCGAATTGCACGTCCATATTGTCAATACTTTAGAACGTACACCCTCATTTAGCGCATTACATCTGAGTATATAATTTGTTAATTATTATAGCATTTCTTTCATCGCTTTGAGTATTTACAAAGAAGAAGTCTACAGCGTTGTTTTGGGTATCTTGCTGTTAGCAATTAACATGTACTCCCAGAAAGACCACTTGAATTCTCAGATAAGAACTGTGTCCTTCGATATATAATTAGCTGAACAAAAACCAGGACCACATTATCACCCTATATTAATAAGATAATCTGTAGATTGTAGCTATTAATTATTGACTACAATACGTAGAAACATGTCCAGAATAATAAAAACAGGTGTTTCCAATGTATATTTTATTTTTTTCACACATGTGATTAATGGGGCTTCTTAATGCGTACGGTATATACATTTTTATTTTCCTATCATATGAAGCTATTTTGCGAACCAGGGAGAGAGTGTTACGCATATTTAATGCATATTTCTAGGCATATGTTAAATAAAGAAATCCCAAGATGATTAATGGTCGATAGATATATAGAATATTAACGCACTGTGTCGACTATAATATAGGCCTTTTGATAGCCTATGATGCGAGAAACGGAAGACACACAAATTTTGAAAAGAAAAATAATCTTCACAAAAGAAAATATTGCATTTAATACAAGATGCTATTTATTTATCCGTCTTAAGTAATGTGCGTGTGGCACATTGTTTCATGTTCCGTTAGGACGTTGGCGCAATATAACCGAGCGTGGTGCTGCACGCGTAACGCTATACTTAGGCCTACGTAAAAGAAATACACAACGACGATCAGGGTAACAGTGAGTCGTTGACTTAAACATTACCTTTTTTGACGGAATTCAATTTATGTTAAATCGTATGCAAACACACCGTACTGCTGATAAATGAGAGAGCATGAACTGTTGTTGAAAACGATGGTCTCCGATACTGCTACTGGCACACTTTGAAATTCAGTGTTCTTGAATTATTAAAAACGGTCGACAAATTGGTAACGTGGTGGAAATAATCGATCACGTGATTGCATCACAAACACAAACACACACACATATATATATATATATATATATATATATAGGTATATATATATATATATATATATATATATACATATATAACAGTATTTGAAAATCAACGTATGCAATTGTTTTACTTTTGTATTTGCTTATATATATATACATAATATATATACATATATATATATATATAACAGTATTTTAATTTGTTTGTGTTATATATAGATGTCAATAGGCATAGATACATAGGCCATATATTTATAGGCCTAGGCCATTTAACAGTATTTGAAAATCAACGTATGCAATTGTTTTACTTTTGTATCTGCTTATATATACATAATATATGTATATAACAGTATTTTAATTTGTTTGTGTAGTTATATATAGATGTCAATGGCATAGATACATAGGCCATATATTGGCTTACTGAATTTGTCTACTCTATGTTGATTATAATTTGGTCTGCCACATGCACTGTACATCCATTACTGCCAGTGCAAACGTTTTCGGTGTACAGAAATCTTTATTGTATTTTTATTTCATAATGTCGTCTACATTGAAATTGAATACAAATTAATTTGGAAACATAAATAAATTGCATTACTGACGTTTGACAAATTGACACATATTTTAAGGTATGTTTTGTATCTTGTTCGATAGGCACGTTAGGCCTATAGCATGAATACCAGGCCTCGTTATGTAACTCACCATATTGAACTATATAACACAGTACTGGATATACAGTATATTACACTGCATTATTCACGAATCCATATAATTTGAAATACACAATCTGAATGAAACTAAATCTGATGTCTATTCATTTTTACGCGAACTGGACACCGAGCATACATAATTGACGAACGTAAAGCCACGGCCAATATGAGTAATAACGGTAGGCATATTATGAAAATGGACATTAAATATTTTATGATCAGTAATAACAAAAAAAAAACCTTAAACCTGAAAAACACATTATCGACCAATGCTGTGTAAATGTGGATATTTGCTTTTTTGGGGGAGGGTGGACGTGAAGGTTTGGTTTTTTTCAACTTGGTCAGGTAATATATAATTGGCACTGTATTATTCAACACATTATTATTATTATTATTTTAATCATTTAACGTTTCTTTTTATTATCATCTTCATATATATATACACCGGTATACATATATATATATATATATATAT